TAAATATCCAGGAAAATAGTACATTAAAAAGAAAATACTAAAATCCTGAGCTTTCCTGGCCTTGGCATGCATTGCTTTTGATCTGCCTGAGCAACTATTATTTTTTTGACACAAGGAGTGCACACTGACCAAGGGCAATGTATGTCCATGAATTTTTACTGGCTGCAAATGCAGCTCAGCACAGGCTAAACCACACTGGCATAATGTAAGACCTTATATGCATTTTCTGTGCTGTTCTGTACAACATGTGAGGAATGCTAATCAGCATTTGAAAGGAAACGTGGGCTTTCAAAGAAGACCCACCAAAACGCAAAATGGGAATATATATTCCCCTACCAAAAAGTCCAGTAGAACTTATGAGTCATAACTCCCACTTCTTTCACCCCTACCCCTGCCATTTCTGACTTAAAATACCATCATCCTCAAGACTGGGATCTTTCAGGTTTGAGTTTTTTTTTTTCCTTTTCAGTAAAGGAATTAAGAACATAAACAACAAACAAACCTAAATGCTAAATAAAACTGAGTAACAGCTGACATTTCCCTTCCCTGCGCTGAAAGTCACTATTTTGAGATCACCACAACTGCAGCCTGCTCAGAAGAATACTCAATTCACATGGATCTTCCCAGGGGTGCTGAAACCCTGGTGGCACCGTGACCCATTTCAGCTCCTGCCTGGAAAGGGACACTGAAGGGCTGCAGGGCTCAGTGACAGCATGGGGCTGGGGGAGCAGCCAGAAGGGGGAAAGGACTGCAGCACTGCCAGGCTCTGCCCAGGGAAGAGACACTCTGAGACCAGGGAACACAGTGCACAAAGAGGAGTGACAACGGGAGGGGGAATAACCAGGACAGGGAGCCTGAGATATTCCCAAGAAAGATTATTCCTGGATCCTGCTTGAAAACATCCAGGGTGATGCAACGGGAGAAGGAGTAAGTTTGTTTATTTATAATGTATTCTCATAGTAATGGGCACATCCTGCATTCATCCAGCTCTGCCCATCCATTTAAGGAAACACAGAGCCCAAGGTAACCTAACAAGGTAACAAACCACCAGGCAGTTTATTCAGAAATATCAACTGCTTCAACTCCAACAAGCAAAGGAGCGAGCAGGACACCCATCCCTCATAAAACACAAACAAAACAAAGAGAGCCAAGCATGCAGGATAGCAAGTTTGGATTTTAAATCTCATTTAGACCTGTGTAGGCTCTGTCCCCTACACTGCTGCCCTGCCTTAAGAATGCCTTTAGCATCCATGCAAAAGCCTTGTCCCCGTGGCACTGCCCCCTCGCACGGGCACACAGAGGGACTGAGCAGGGAACCTGCCTCGCAGGCTGGAGACCCAAACAGCTCAGCTGTTTAATCCTTTATAAAAATATAAACTGTTCAGTGCCTCTTCAAAAAAACCACACAAGCTTCCTGCATGCTGTGAACAAGATCTCTTTATTGAGAGCTTTACTTTTAATTTTGAACAGCTTCGCAGCATTAGCCTTAGCAGAAAAACCCCCCAAAAATAACAAGCCCAGAGACTTCTGAGCTACTCAGTCAACAGCCTGATAGAATTCCTCATTGAAATTAGCTTCTCCTAGCAGAATTGCTGGACTGCATCTCTTCCACAAATCATTTCACAATTTTTTAAAGATGGACAAAGTGCTGATTTAATTTCATTGAAAACTGAAAGACCAAAAGCCACCACTGCTGGTGGTGAGACCCCCAATATCAGCACTTACAGCTCTCATTTTGCTAAGGACACTGGCTCCACGTTTCAGGTGCTCAGTGTTCCAGCCTTGCTTTTTCTAATTTTTTAAATCTCACATGGGAAAAGAGTAATGGCTCCTAACTCAAAAAAAAAAAAAAAAAAATTATACTAAAGATGCAGAACAATGAGCTGAATTAATTAAAAATTCTTAAAATATCACAACACTGAAGTATTTCACTAGGAGCTGGAAAATTTTACTTGCTTCAAAGCCTAAAATTCAGCTTTTTTTTTTTTAAAGCAAGCTATAAAAACCAATACCTTTTCCAAAGAAGCAGAAAAAAATACTTTTTCAAATGATTTTTGATCCTACTTTGAATGGCAAATTTTATTTTCATTTAAACACTTTTCTATAGTATTGGAAACTGAAAAGAGTTCCTAAACCAAGAGTGGAAAGTAAACTGCCTCATTTCATTATCTCAGGAATAAAATGACAAAAGCAAACAAAAACCCACCTGTGCTTTTCAACAGCACCTTTTATGTCATTGCAATGCATCGATTTTGTGCTGAATATACCACAAGTGATTTCTCATTGCTTTCTCCCTATCTCCAAATGCACACCTTCCACAGGGGCTGGCACCAAGGCAAGCAAACAGACACCCAGATTTCTGATTCTCACATCAAAAACTGCTTCGAAAATGTCTGCCTGTTTTCTTCAAATTATGTGGTTGCATATTTGGAAGCTCGAGTTGTTATGAGGAAGAATTCCCTTGTCTCTTGCATACTGATCATTTGTACTGAATTTAACTCAGAGATGTACCTCTTGCAAAGAGTTCTAGCAAATTCTCCAGAAGACAACCCAAAAGCACTGATCATATGTAAAGAATTTAAAAAAACCTCCCCATATTGACAACTTTTTTTTTCCTATCAAGTGTTGGGAAGCACAAGCACAGAGAGCACAACCAATGAAGTAATTTACAAATTTTCAATGTTGGTGACATGGCTTCCTTTTTTTTAGTAAAACTAATAAAAGTTTAGGAAGAAGTGTTATTAAGGGAGGAGCTTGGCTCTAATCTGAATTTTGAATTGCCTTAAAGAAACCAAGGCAGCTTTACATTAGTATAAGAAAGGTGCAAGATCAAAACCGAGCCTGTGGCAGTGCTCCATCATGCCATGATTTCTTTATAATGAAATATAGTGAAAGAAAATTAGTGGCACAAGGATTTTAATGCACCCCAGACACACATTTACAATGATTAAACAGATCAGTACTTGTAAAACCCAAGGGTCTAACTTTACAAACCTTTACTCAAGCAAGCAGTTTCACCAAAATCAATGGGATTATTTGCATATGTAAGGCTATTTATCGCAGCTGGGATCTGTAGGTTTAGGCCACACATTTCTATTTAGATCTTCTATGAAGCAGAAACCACAAAGTTCTATGAAGAACAGGAGAACACAACACCTTGGAGTTAATTTTCATTTATACCAGTATAATTTTCTCTGTCCTTCTGATGCATTTGATAAACTGGGCATGTTTTGAAATTGGAAATGTTGGCAAAAATACAAATTTCCTGATGGGAAGAATACTACTCATGGATAATAAACAAGATCAATTCTTATTTGCATATTCAATCAGATTTTGGTTTGCATATAAAAGCATAAGATGGTAGAATTTTCACATGGTAGATGAATCCTGCTCGCTTATTCATGCATATATGCATCCACTAATCCTTACACATGCCAAAATCAGTCAGAAATGCTCTCTTTGCTAGGCATTCATAGCACAAAAACACTGTCCCTGCTGCTGTTCTCAACCTTCCCTTTTCGAGCAGCGTATGACAGCAGTCTCCCAAGGCTCTCTCCCAAGACTCCCTAATAGCCCCTGCTCTCTATTAGTCTTCTTTTCACTAGGCAAAGTGGTAGTTTGAATTTTTGAATCATAATTTAAAAGGGATGCTGTCAACTGCATATGAAGAGCAAAAAACACGGGACCAGATATTCAAAGGTGCTTCAGCGTGGACTTGACAATTTCGCTTGTAGCTGTCACTGCAAAACCGAACCTATCTCTCACTGGCAATATTGACATGTCCCGGACTACAGCTAAAAACTGCAGATTTAGACCATGCCTACCTGCTTTTCACACACACCTACTAGGAAACTGAATTAAAAATATTTACATGGTCTGGTACTATCAAAATATGCAATGTTAATACTGTCTCATACACCGTAAGCCTGCTAATAAATGATACCCTGTAAGCTACGCTCCAAGGTGCTGAATGCCTGCAACATCTGTGGGACCTGAAGGCAATCAGCACCCTGAGCCATCAGATAACAGGTTTGACGGTCTTATAGCCAGTCTGACAGTCTGGATATCTCATTTGCATTTAGAAGAGTGTCATATTCAAATGTATATAATTTTGTGCATTAAATTAAAAATTCAACTGGAACCCTGCGCGTTAAACCCTAGCTGTCTGCAAACTAAGAAATGTTTTCATGTAATTAAAGAAAAAGATCAAACAAATTAGCATCAAAACGAAATGGCAATCTGCTGTTGCAGCCTTTGCCCTTACTAGGTCAAGCATGGGGTACCAAAAAAAAGCAGAGCTGCCCAGGGTATCTGAAATAATCTCGTATACACAGAAAGAGTATTTCACTCTCCCAGATGAATGAAATGCAAAAATCAGTCAGCATGAAGTTGAAAGCTCATATAGGATTTCTACAGCAATGCCAGCTCTGATCAATCAAAACATTATCAGCAGCAGGTTAAGGAGGTATTTATTTAACAAGGGGACAGAATCTAATTGACTTTCCAGGAGAGGAGAGCGAGCAGGCAGGCAAGCGGGCGCCCACTCGTTCCGCTCGTTGAATCTTACACAGCCCTTTTTCAAGGGGGGCAGGAGCACAACCCTGCGCTCCCCCAGCACAGGGGGATTTTGCCCTCTGCAGACACCAAGGACATCCTTGTGTCCCTGTACAGGGTGTCCCCTGCAAAGAGCAGAGCTGCTGGTGGGCCAGGGGGGGAACAGGGCAGCCGTGCTGTTGTGCTTCTGCAGAATGCCTCCCAGCGTCCTGCCCGCCCGCTGCAGCACGGCCTGCTCCCAGACACAGCCTCCAACCCTCCTCTCTCTCCCTGCCTCTGAAGCATTTAAACTACCCGTATAAATCACCAGAAAATAAGGGTTTGACCCAGTTACACGTCTTAGGGCTCCTCGCATTCATTTGCTAATGCTAAATGTAATGGAAATCACAGCTTTCCTAAAAAACAGGCAGCGGGGATGGGAAGGGAATGGCTGCTGATGCTCCTACCTGCTTGGTTAGTTGTCACAGTGACTGACACGGCCTGGTCCTGGCTGGGGTTTTGCTTGGACACTCCGTTCACCGCCCAGACCTCAAAGGTGTAGTTGGTGTGTGCCAGGAGGTCAGTGATGGAGACTTTGGTGGTTTTCAGGCCGTTCTGCTGGGGGCTGAAGTGCACCCCACTGCCACAGGAGCGGCAGCGGCTGAGCTCGCCGGCCCCGCACCTCTTGCACACCACGTTGTAGGAGATGTCCTCCCGGCCACCTTTGTTCTGCGGGGGGCTCCACTCCAGGTTCACAGAGGTCTCATTGACGTTGGAAATCAGGTGCTGGGGAGCAGATGGAGGGCCTGAAAAGACAAAGTCCACGTGGTTTTAGTTAAGGGGAAAAAAAAAAAAGCTTACATAGTTACATTGGAGTTAAGGGTCCCAGACCCTGCAACTCCCATTTAAGGACAGCAAAGACCAAGCAGAATTTTACTTCTCTGTGTTCATAATGAAGGCAAAAAAATTAACTGGTAAGTCAAATTCTGATCTCTTCATCTGATGAAATAACAGTATTTTCCAGCTCTAAATGAGCCTGAAAGCTCAGTATTGCAATTAAACAGGAGTGGGACTTTTTCCCTTTCACTCTTTATACTTGTTATGAAAAATGTTAAATTTACATATTTTACACTCATTTTTCCCATGATCTCCTAAGCAAAGCATCAAATGCACAAACTTCTGCTTCACTTGGGATTTTCAAGGTCTCCCATTACCTACAGACAGACTCTCATTGAAATTATTATAGAAATATCTCATGATATCTTTTTTCCTTTTATATTTTTACACTTTATCTTTTTATATTTTTATAAAAATATAAAATATAAAAATACGAAATATAAAAAATATGGAATATAAAACTATTTTCCAGACAAGTTGATGTCAAATTATATTCAGTGAACACTGAAACCCATCAAGTAGGGACCTGAACATGACATTTCAGCAGGATGGAGATGTGAATAGAAAGACAGACACACATAACTAAGGCTTTGGAGGATGGAAAATAAAGTTTACAACAGGGGAGTGCTGGAGAAAGAACTGGAGAGGAAAATATGGTGAGCATCTGAAGGAAGAGCTGATAAAAGAAAGCTGGTCAGAAACAAGAGACCAGACGGCAATAAGGCTGAATTTGAGACACACGGTCAGCTTTTCCACCACAGGCACGGGAGACCTCAAGACCCATAAACACGCTGCCGGAGAGCTCCCAGCTGGTTCCAGCACAGGGACCATGGGATTAGAGCACAGAGGCAAAGGCAGGCTGGGCAGGAGCTCCGTGGGCAGGAGGGCAGAGCCCAGAGGCAGCAGCCCCTCCAGCACCTCTCCAGAGGTGCCCTGGCCAGCCCTGCCCAAGCGGACAAGCTGCCGCCAGCGCTGCCCTGCCTCGCGCCGACCAACGCACAGGCAAAAATCCTGTTTATGTGCTTGAATCCCCACAGGCCCCAAACCCACAGGCAAATTAAAAATGCAGAACAGCTAATCCTGCAACTCTTAATCTAATTTCAATATAGTTGAGACACACTTTTTGTACCCTTAAATTTAAGGCAGATGATTCAGAGTGAACCCATGAAAGAGATGGGCATTTGATCCATCCCAAACGCTTCCCTGACCACCACCAGGCAGCCTGCTCTGGGGCAGAGCACACAGCTACTCTGACACACACAGTGCTTTGGGATGGTAAGCACTGCATCAAACAGAAATGAAACAGAATGACAATGAAGATTGCAAAATGTATCAATCCAAACCGGAACACACTAAAAATACCTGTGCTTAGTAGCTACTGATAGTCAGAGCTTTACATACAAATATTATTAGCAGAAAAATACTGGAAATAATTTTGGAGAAAGTCACAAATTCAAGACACAAGAAAGCACATGAAAACTTCTTAGATTTCATAAAAAAACCATCAAATGATGGTTGCAACTCAAAAGAAGTTCGACTAGATCTCCTTTCAGAAAAGGAAGGAAAGGAGAAAGTTCTGGCAAATTTGTCAAACATTATGAAACTATGAATCTGGCAAAAAAGAATCAGCCAGCTCCAACAGTTCCATTAAGTATATAAATAAGTAAGTCATAATCTCTCATATGCCAAAGGCAGAAAAACAGTCATTGTGGTAAGACAGGAACCAAATACATTGAAAACATGAAATTCTACTGAAATTACAAAGTGACTCATCAAGTGTAACAGCAAAAAGGTTAAGCTGTTAAGGGATGACTATGGGGAAGATTAATTGTGGCTCCCTCCTCAATTTATCAGGTTCATCTCAAAGGAAGCCTGAGGCCTGAACAGGCTGCATAGGACAAGGTTTTGAGAGCTGCATCCTCAGGTCTGTGCTTGAAGCCACCAGGATGTAACACATGCCCAACGGGAGACAGAACTTTTATTTTGAGAGGTAGGTAGGATCTTAAATGACATAGAGGTCAAACAGTTCTTCAGAACCTGAATGAAAGGTCTCTGTTTCAGGAGTAGCTAAGCAAGAATTGTTTGTCTGTGTTTATTTCAAAAATACAAAATTAATTTATTTATTTTGAAAGGAGGGAAATCCTCCCTTCTTGCCAAACCCTTGAAACAGTCTCTGAGTTAATCAGGTTTGACAGGTAGAATTACTGCAAGAAGAGAGAGCTGAGTCCAGCCCCTGAGCCACAGAGCCCTCCTGCCTGCTGCACCACCAGGCTGCCATTCATGGCTTTTATTTATGCACTGGCAGCATTTCGAACTCTTAAGGACAAAACCCTTTTACTCAAAGATCAGTTACTGAACACAGTAAGAGATGTTTCCTGATCCAAAAACTAGACGAGAAAGAAAAAGGGAAGAAATTGGTTTTAATCTCTATTCATCATGTGGAGATGGAGGCAGGGAGAGATGTGGTGAGACAAGGGTAGACAAGACATGCTTTGCACATCTGGGCAGTAGTTAAAGCTGTCCCAGTTCCCAGACCAATGCCTCTGTCCCATAACCAGCTCTCCTTTCCCCAAAAGTTGGCTTTGCCAGCTCCCCTGGGTACAAGAAAGTGGTCTCTGCTTAGCCTGCAAATACACGAGCTTTCTTTTCAAATACAAACTCTGAGTGCAATGAGGTGGAAGACACTCCTGAAATTGTGAACTCAAGCGGCAGCGCTGAGCAGGAACTGAACCAAACTCTCTCCACCCCAGACTTCTCCAAACTGCCTTCTCCAAACACCTGGGCTCTCTTCAGGGCAGGCAGGTGCACAAGGTGACAACACCTGTCCCTCTGCACTGCCAAGGGAACAGGAAAACCAACAAAAGCCCCTGGGGGGAACAGCAGCCTCGGCAGGCTGCAAGCCCAGGTGCACATTGTACAGTGAAGGGCTGCCCTGGCCAGAGCAGCAGCCAGAGACACTGGGAGCTGAGGCTGTCCTCCCAGAGGCTGGTCAGGACCTGGCAGCAGCAAGAAACAGAACAGAAGCTGCTCCTGTGGGAAATACCAAGGGCCTGATAGAGAGAAAAAGCAAAGGGTGTTTTCTTGGAGAGTTTACCCTCAGCAGTCACACACGTGAGAGCATCGACTCAGAGTGCAGCCAGGAGAGCTGAGATGAGGTGGTGCCAGTGCAAACACCTCCTTCCCCATGCAGCACCAGCTCTGCCAGGGCCAAGAATATCCCCATTTCAGGGGGGTTTCCTGAAGTAAAGACCTCCACGGGAGGAGAGTTCATACTGCACGGCTGCAGTCTGAAAGATGGGCCTCTTAGCTCAGATACAGCAGCCAGTTTGGGGTTAAACTCAGACTGTCTGATGTCCATTAAGATATTTTCCAAGGCTCTAGGTCCAGTTTCACATGGGAAAATGTGCCAGAATGAATCAAGCTCCTCAGAAGCAAAAAGTCAGTAATTAGTATGTGGGACAGGGCACTGCAGTGTCTAAACAGAGATGCGACGAAGCGGAAAAGCAGGGAAGCAGATGCTTGCAGGTCACAGAGATGAGCGCACCACCTCCAGCATGAAAAGGAAGATGCGGGGGAGTCTCCAAATGGTGGGCTGACATTACAGTGAGGGGAAAAGCAATTTCTTTTCTTCCTGGAGCATAGTCATCAATGGAGCTGTTGGCACAGGGAGTGGGGAGTAGCTTCAGATTGATGGGCCTGGTTTCAGATGTTGAAACACAGGGCGTATCTGGCTCCTTCAATGGTGATCAGAATTTGCTTTGTGTCTGACAGTGGAGCTGCTGCCCATAGATGAGACAAACCCTTTCAGGGCCATGGCAGGCTGCAAGGGCCAGGATAGCACCTGGATGAACCCAGCTAGCAGGATCCCACAGGAACAGCATCCTGACAGCCACACCATCACCCTCACACCAACCTGTGTCCTCTGGCAGAAAAATCTAGCTACGGGGCAGATGAGAGAGGAGACAGGGACCTGTGCCTCTGAATCACCACCACCATCTGTAATTTTGTCACAAGTCCCATGATCTGCAGTATTTTTCATAAATCTCCTGCCAATGGAAGCATGCTATTGCATGGGCTATTTGGCACTGTGGAAGAATGGAGTTAATACTGCCACACTGCCTGGAACAGTTTGAAAATGTGACAGTTCCTAGAGGAAATCAAATATAAACCTAAACATTTTAATTCTGAAAACCAATTAATTTTAAAATTAATTTTAAAAGTAATTTTATGATGTTAGGAAGGCAGGTGCTGTTGTTTTCCCTGCACAGGACAACAGAATTTGAGGGATGGATCTGCAGAGCCACTCAGTCTTCTCATGTCAGTGACTGCAAAGGGGCACAGTTTGATCATGGGCCCTGAAAGCCAGATCCCCCTCCAGCCCCTTTAACCAGCACCCTGAACGGACAGGGGGGAGCCCTCTGTGGGAACACAGGGAACGGAAGTTTTCAATTTTATTCCTTCCTGGGGCTCCATAAATCTTGCTTCACAATAAACCCATCAAAATCAAGTGAGCCATGAAGCAAATGGGAAGGCCCTGGGTGGAGTAGTTCACTGTGTGTGCCAGGGCTGAATGAAACACTGGAGAGTCTGTTTAGCAACAAATAATCTTCATCAAGCTAATCTTGCTATCTTCCTCAACCCTCCTATTAGATTTCCTTAAATGTATTGGGCAATGCAGATTGTTTGGCTTTCTCTTGCTGCAATAGGCTATAGCCATTACAGCTACCTGTCTTTCATCCACAGACGGAGAGATCTGCCTGTCTTAAGGACAATGTTGTACCCAATGTCAAACAAACATTCACAGAAACAAGAGTTTTTAAGACGTTAATAACATAAGCACTACTTGCATTAAAAGGACTGATGCATTTTAGCACTCTTTCTACAACTTCAGGCAGTATTTTAACTTTTC